ATTTTTTCTTTCGGATAAATACATATAGATTAAGAAATAGAATAGGTAAATGTATAGATCTAGTACAAATGGAATAACTTGATAATCTCGCTAATTATAAAGATTATTCATATCGAATCCAAGAAATAATCATAATCATAATGACTAGTATTGAATATTAAGTTTATTCTATGATAGACCAATGTTTATGTCACATCTAAGGGAAAACATGGAATACAATGGACAGTTGAAAACTAATTAGGTGATTTGAACTTTGCAGATGATCTATCGCATACATACGAACAAATGCAGATAAAGACAGTCAGTGTAGTAGCAGTCTATGTATCAGTAGGCTTTAACATACACAACGGAAAAACCAAGGTCTTCAAATACAACACGGAGAACAGAAATTCAATCACATTTGATGGCGAAACTCTGGAAGATATAGAATCCTTCACGTAGCTGGGAAGTATCATTGATGAGCAAGGAGGATCAGATGCAGGTGTAAAAGGGAGGATTGGCAAAGCAAAGACAGCATTCCTACAATTGAAGAACATATGGAACTCAAAACAACTATCTATCAGCCAATATCAATGTGAGAATCTTCAATACGAACGTCAAGACAGTTCTACTGTATGGAGTTGAAACGTGGAGAACTACTACAATCATCATGTCCATTGACTGGATACAATCAGTAGCAGCCTACTGTGGGAGAGAACAAACCAGTTTCCAGATGAAGAGGAAATTAGGAATAGACGATAAAAATGGATAGGACATAGATTACGCAAATCATCAAACTGCATCACGAAACAAGCCCTAACTTGAACTCCTGAAGGGATGTGGAAAATAGGAAGTTCAAAGAATACATTACATCGGAAAATAGAATTAAATATGAAAAGGATGAATAATAACTGAAAAGATCTGGAAAGGATTACTCAGGACAGAATAAGATAGACAATGTTAGTGGGTGGTCTATGCACCTTCACGAAGAGTAACAGGCGTAAGTAAGTAATATATGCCCTAAATAATGTTTTTTTTTCTTTAAAAAAATGGTTCATTAAACTACCACCACCACCACAACAACAACCAATCGATTAATCAGGTTTGTTTGTTTTATTTTTTGTATCCATGCCAAGAATTTTTTGTTGTTTATTTTTTCTCATCTTATCAATTCACTAGAATCGATGTATTTTTTTTTCTTATCTTTACCATAATCGGTGATATAATCATCATTTAACTCTCATGTTTTATTTTATCTCATTCATATCTTCTTTATATAAATTAGCTTAACCATAAATGTACATTACTTCATGTGAAATATTAGAAACTGTATATGACATGAATTGTGTTTACAGTTTGTGCGTGTGTGTCTGTGTGTGTGTGTGTGTGTGTTTACTCAAAAGAAAAACATCCATGTTACCTAAGTTATCAACAAAAAAATGATGATGAGGAGGAGGATGAGGATGATGAGGATGATGACAACGAAAGCAAATTTCTTGATGTGATGACGTAAATGTTTGTCATTGATAAAGAGTAATGAAAAGAAGGAAATAAAATGAAAATTTCTGTTTAAAATTAATTTTCCAATGGATTTTATGTATTTTCAATAGTTGAAATCATGAATCAATTGAAGTTAGACCACCATGGAAAACCTGGAAGCACTGGACGGCCGTTTCGTCCTAATATGGGAATCCTCAGCAGTGTGCATCCACGATCCCGCACCCCACGGGATTCGAACCCAGGACCTATCAGTCTCGCGCCAGGCGCTTAACCAACTAGACCACTGAGCTGGCATCCAACGGTGTTAATGTCTAACTTCAACTAATCCACGAAGTTGCGCCACCGTCACCATTGTCTTCAGTGAGCTGATATCTCACACTGCGCACTGCTGAGGAGTCCCATACTAGGACGAAACGGCCGTCCAGTGCTTCCAGGTTTTCCATGGTGGTCTAGCTTCAATTGATTCATGATTTCAACTATTGAAATTACCAATTCTCCATAAAACCCATTCTAGGATTTTATGTATGTTTATATATTTATATCAATAGGGGTATTACATATATACTGACTTACGCCTGTTACCCTTCATGAAGAAGTATAGGCTACCTACCAGCATTCTTCATCCATATCTGTCTTGGATAATTCTTTCTAGTTACTATTGATTCTATTCATATATGTTTCCAATTTTCTATACAGTATGTAGTTTGGTCTATGTCTTTTCTGTTTCTCTTCAGGATTTCAAGTTAACACTTGTCTTGTGATATAGTTTGATGATTTTCTCAATGTATATTCTATCCACTTCCAACGTTTTTTTCCTAATTTCTTTGTCAGATGGAAGATGGTTTGTTTATTCTCACAGAAAGCTGTTGCTGAGGATATCCATCCAATAGACATTGAATATCTTGTGTAGATAATTGTTTATAAATACTTGTACTATTTTGATGATGATTTTAGTAGTTCTTCAAGTTTCAGCTCCGTACAGTACAACTGTCTTGATGTTCATATCTAAGATTCTGGTTTTAATTGGGATATAGATCAAGTTGAATTGAATGAATAGAAAATAGATGGAACCAGAATATTTTTGGTGAAGAAAACAAATAACTAACTATTTAAACGTATACATTATTTATTTATGTATAAATCTATTTAATTGAATACATGAACTGTATGCTGAATTAAAGGCATCAGACTAGGAAAGGTTCTGAACAATGTGTTGTTGGACTGATGAAAGACCCAGTAGATGCCTAACTTCGAAATCAACAAACTGCAGTTCGTAAGAATTGATCGTGCACAGACCAAATCGCGACACTACGGATTATCTTTGAACTATCAATTGAATGGAACTCGTTACCATACATCAATTTTCTTGATTATAAGAAATCATTTGACAGTGTGGATAGGAGAACATTCTGGAAATTTCTTCGATACTATGGAGTACCTAAGATAATCGTCAACATCATCAGGAATTCATACGACGGACTACACTGCAAAGTCATTCATGGAGTGCAGCTGACAGACACATTTCATGCAAAGACCGGTGTCAGACAATTGTGTCTATTCTCTCCCTTCCTCTTTCTTCTGGTGGTTGACTGAATTATGAAGACTTCCGCATTTGACGGGAAGCACGGGATACATTGAACAGCTTGGATGCAACTAGACGATTTGGACTTCATAGATGACCTATCCCTTCTATGCCATACACATTAACAAATGAAGGTTAAGACAGCTAGTGTAGCAGAAGCCTCTACTCCAGCAGGCTTCAATATACACAAGGGAAAAAGCAAGATCCTCAAATACAACACATTGAGCACCAATGCAATCACACTTGATGAAGAAACTCTAGAAGAGGTGGTAACTTTCACTTAGCTGGACAGCATCATCGATAAGCAGAAAGGATTTGATGGAGATGCAGATGTTAACTAGGAATCCTGAAGCGAAACAAAGGTCAAAAATTACACTGCGCCGCGAATCGGAAGCAGATACGAGAAGGATGAATAGCAACTGGAAAAAACTTGGGAAAGATTGCTCATGACAGAGTTGATTGGAGAATGCTTATCAGTAGACTATTGTTCTCCATGATAGGTAATAAGCATAAACAAGTATGTATGTTAAATGAAACAATAATCCAAGAAACTAAAGGTATTAATACTTCGGTATGTTTGTAAATTAATCATTACCCTACACAGATTTATGAATAAACTTTTGTTTGTGTGTATTTATGTTTGTGCATAGGATTACCCTACTCAGCTACTCCTAATTGTATCCGAATGAACAAAGTTTCCGCTCATTTATATTTATGAACATTAATAAACTATTATCATGATTGTTCAATTTTGTTATGGCGCCAACGGAATCACACACACACGCGCACGCACACATACATACACACACTCACACATATATATATACCTCTTTCTGTAATCATAGTTGTACCTGTTCAACTTGTCTAACTTTACTCGATTGTTTTAATTGTCAAATTAATTATTGAAATGATTACACTTTGAAAGGAATAAGAAAACAAAAAGACCAAAATAAAGTGTAATTGAAGTACAATGATAGAGAGATTCTTGTATAAAGAGTTGTCAAATTTTAATTTCGATGACTTCAATTTGTCAATTTATATCTCACTAGTTGAAATTATGAATCAATTGAAGCTAGACCACCATGGAAAACGTGGAAGCACTGTTTGACGGTCGTTTCGTCCTAGTATGGGACTACTCAGTGGCAGTGCGCGTATCCATGATCCCGCCCCTCGCGAGATTCGAACACAGGATCTATCAGTCTCGCACGCGAGCGCTTAACCACTAGATCACTAAGCCAGCTGGCATTCAACGGTGTTAATGTCTAATTTCAACCAATCCACAAAGTTGCACCACCGTCACCATTGTCATCAGGGAGTTACTATCTTACAACAGACCTGGTTGAACTCCACTGGTCACCACTTCTCACTGGAACTCCAGGAGTATCTCTTGAAGTTAGTCACTAGTGAGCAGATGATTATTATCAGAAGGGTGTTTTTGTGGAGATTGTAATAATTTTAATAGTTGAAATCATGAGTCAATTGAAGCTAGACCACCTTGGAAAACCTGGAAGCATTGTTTGACGGTCGTTTCGCCCTAGTATGAGACTCCTCAGTGGCAATGTGCATCCATGATCCCGTCCCCCCCCGCGAGATCCGAACCCAAGACCTATCAGTCTCGCGCCGGGCGCCGTCCAGTGCTTCCAGGTTTTCTATGATAGTCTCGCTTCAATGGACTCATGATTTCAACTAGTGAATTTACTAAAATCTCCACAAAACCCCTTCTGATGATAATAAATCGATCAATGTTAATCTACTATTGAAAATTTGAAAGTACTGGATGACTGTTTGATTCTAGTATGGGATTTCTTGGCAGTGCTCTTATCCACTATCCCGCATAGAGGATTTGAATGCAAGATCTTTGATCTTGTACAACAACGCTTAATCTGTAGACTATTGAATAGTATTAATGTCTAATTTCATCTTCTATTGTTTTTGATAGGTAAATGTCTCATAATCGACATGGATTAGCATCATTGTTCATGGTTTCCAAGTATTCAATAGAGTAGTCTAAGATTGATCTATTCATGATCTTAATAATAATTGAAGTTGACATTGTTATATATATCCGTTTCTAATATATTTTTATCTAATCCTATCAATGCTTTTCACTTTCTTATTATTCATTAATTCCATCTAAAACATTAATGTATAACCTTCTCATGGTATTCAACATTCTATAGCTTATAGTTATTTGGACCAAAAATTACCTTCATTATTTACTAACAGTAGTCAAAGAATTACTTTAATGATGTACAACTCATATCATTATTATATCTTGCCTAAATTACTTACTTACTTATTTACGCCTGTTACTCCCAATGGAGCATAGGCTGCCGACCAGCATTCATCAACCCACTCTGTCCTGGGCTTTCTTTTCCAGTTCTATTCAATTTTTTGTTCATTTTTCTAATGTCTGTCTCCATTTCTTGGTGTAATGTGTTCTTTGGTCTTCCTCTCCTCCTTTGGCTTTGAAAATTCCATGTAAGGGCTTGCCTTGAGACTATCTTGCTTAAATATAACCTGTAAATTATAAGTATACATTCAATACATATTCATATTCATGTGTCTTTTATGTACAAGTAGAAATTGATCTCTCTATGGTTATTTATTTTAGTTATTTATTTAAACCCACAAATATTGGTACAAACGGAGCACCGAATATATATGCGTCACATAAGTCACTTGGTTTGTGTGTGAGCTGTGATACTGCCCAGACTGAAACAGATGATTTTCTTAGGGGGGGTCACACCCAGAGCCTTCGACCTAAAAGTCTAATCCACAAGGTGGTAGAGCAGTGTTAGGTAGCCAGTAACCAACAATAGGTTCATACGCCATTTGTTCCATATACATCATTGATATGGAATCACAGTTTTCCAACTCATCTAGATGGATTCATTCTATGCACTAAGCTGATTAAAGCGCCAGACATTCACTTTTCATCCTCTCAATTTTATAGATTAAAGCATTTGACCTTAAATTAATTGAATTACAGTTTTCAACCATACTCTATACAGATCTGTGTAGATAGTTTAGTAGAATAGTATCATTAATTCTCATACTATTAAAATGTAACTAATAGCCAAGTAAATTAATCTATAATGATTTATTATTTATTTACGACTGAAACTAAGTACACAACTGTATCTCTGTGCGAATGTTGTGGTATGGCAACTCGAACTGATGTACGTACGTACGAAGTTCCACGTTGTTACTGACTGACTGATTGACACTTCTTTTATTATTGTTACTCATCCTAAGATATAGCTATTGTCCATTGTTAGGATGATTTAAGTTCCAATCATCTATGAATGATACCTTTAAACTTTTCGATTCATTTAATTTAGTTGTTTATTCAATCAATAATCTATTTCAATGGAAATAGATGTAATTCATAGACTAGTACTATACACTATACTCATTCATGAGAAGGTTTATTGAAGTTTGATGATAATCAAGTTAACTAGTTAACACAATGGAATCTAAGATACATGTTCACACTAGAGTATTATAGTTAATAATTGATTCTACTGTTAATTATAATCCATGTATAATGTAACTTGTAATATTTGTCTATAGCTAGACAATTAGCTCAACGTACTTACTTACTTACTTATGCCTGTTACTCCTCGTGAAGGAGCATAAGCCGCTCACTAGCATTCTCCATCCAACCCTGTCCTGGGCAATCCTTTCCAGTTCTTATCCATCCTTTTCATATCCACTTTTATTTCCTGACATAATATGTTCTTTAGCCTTCCTCTTTCCTGATTCTCTTCAGCATTCCATGCTTGTCTCATGATGCAGTTTGATGATTTGCGTAATGTATGTACCATAGAAACAATGAAATACAAAACTTTAGTAACCATTTAGCTAGTTGAGATTATTGATTGGTTAAAAATGGTAAATAATTCAGTGTTGTTACATAATTCTATAAATGTAAACTAATATTATTGATGTTGTCATCTACATTAAACAATTATAGCTTACTCATTCCATTTAATCTAACTGTGAAAGTATTTTCAATATCATCAATAATCTGGTTACCTATTTCATACGGTTTTAATTCAATATTGAAACTATATATGATGACTATTATTGAAATTTATTTTAAAAAAAAACATTGGAACTTTGATTTCTTTTAGTCAAATTGTAATCATACTCTTTACCCTCCTACATTTCCTCTCTCTTCCTCCACTTCTCTCTCTCTCTCTGTGTTGCCATGTGAACATAACAGGTGTCAATTGATGTTGTTTTCTTATTAAGCGATAAAACTATTTAGATCTATTAAATGATAAGATTGATCATTGTGTAACACTGGTATTATTTTATTTAACTTACGTGTGTGTGTGTGTGTGTACGTGCGTGTGTATGTGTGTGTGCGTGTGTGTGTGTGTTCCTATGTTTTATTGTGTGTACAATTTTTATTTATATAGTTTATAGTTGAAATGTAATAAAAGAGAAATCAATTTTGAAAATTTCATTTCATTTGTTAACATGGCAACAATCCTAACTAATTGTGTTACTTATCCCTTTTTATTTATGACCTTTTTATCAATTTGATTTCTAACGCCAATGGTGCGTGTGTGTGTGTGTGTGTGTATTTGTGTTTATGTTTGTGTGTGTGTGTGTACTTTTATAAAAATTACTAAACATAGCCTATAATAGCAGAACATATGGCAGAGAATGTGTTATTTTAATAATTGAAATGATACTAATTCTTCAAAGGAGTAAGTATAATATATATCAATATGGGTTTTGTGGATATGATAGTAATTTCAATGGTTAAGATCATGAATCAATTGAAGCTAGAGCACCATGGAAAACCTGGAAGCACTGTTTGACGGCCGTTTCGTCCTATTTTGGGACTCCTCAACAGTGCGTATCCACGACCTCGCTCAATTTCGTGGATTAGTTGAAATTAGACATTAACACCGTTGGATACCGGATAGCTCAGTGGTCTAGTGGTTAAGTGCTCGTGCGCGAAACCAATAGGTCCTGGGTCCAAATCTCGCAGGAGGCGAGGTCGTCGATGCGTACTGCTAAAGAGTCCCACAATAAGACGAAACGGCCGTCCAGTGCTTTCAGGTTTTCCATGGTGGTCTAGCTTCAACTGACTCATGATTTCAACTATTGAAATTACTATAATATATATGCTTAATAAAACAGTCTCCAAATAATATAATATACGATTCCACTTGACAATATTCTTTGTTTTATCAATATAGGATTGTGGAGATTGTTCAGTATAGATTGATGGCATGAGTATTAGACTATGATTAAAAGGGTGAAAGTAATAGAAGAACGATCGTTTCGTCCCAAAATGGGACTCCTCAGCAGTGCGGGATTCTTTTTTCACAATAAAAAATTAGTATAATTATACCAAAGTTTGACTTGATCATTGAATGGATTGTTTATATTAAAACAGTAATCGTATATATTTGTTGAATCTCAATGTGTAGATCATTCAATGGGTGGTTTTCTTTTCCGGTTTATACAGTGGTGTTGAGTGCTGTTAGAGGTATGAGGGCGGTTATCACTTCCCAGTTGCCCACACAGTGGAAGGGTTCTTCTGGAGGTACCTGAAAAGGAAATTGGATTAGAGGTGGTCATAGTGACCTGAGAGTGTGACCTCAGTGCCCAAGAGACAGCTGCTTGAGGTCGGTCACACACGATCTTTTTATGAGTAGTTTTTGTGTTAGCTCCGTACTTGTTGAGACCTTACCGCCGGAGACGGATATCCGTGGTATAAGGTGAGGTGTGCATTTTTAGAGTTGGCCATTTCTAACTCCACCCAACCTTGTGGAAAGGCAGCATAGGTGTCATGCTGGTTGTCTGAAAGAAACACGTTACTGCTGTCACACCACTGTACAATCAGCAGTACGACTTCGCCTTCGGACCTTGGGTTTGTTGCTTTTAGTCTTACCGCTCTTCAACCGACCTGCCCGTCTGGCATGGTAGGATCTTGAGGAACGGTGAATAAAGAAGCGTATATGAAGGAAAATTCTCTCCCCCCAAAAAAAGACTAACCAATTTCCTTCATCAACTGGATAATCATGTCTTTGACTGGTGATTTTTCGAGAGTTAACTTTTTGAAAGTTTGTTATGAGTTTTAACTGTTGGAGATTAACTTATTCACAATTGGATTAATCATTAAATGAGGATCAATGACTTCACTACAATCGCTACTCGAACATCTGAATGATAATTTCTCAAGTTTTCAAGCTGGCTATTTCGGCTCCATCGGGATTATCAGAACTTGGTTTTGCTGCTTTCACTTTTACCGCTCAACTATATATCATAAATAACTCTTGCGGATAATCGCGGCCAATATAATTAATGAAGTTAATCATATGAAATCACTAGGATAACCCTTTCCGTAGAACCTTAAAGATCTTTCGCAGGGTGATGAATATATATTGTTAAAGTCTTAAACGAAGATTAAACAGTTATTTGTCAGTGCTCCTTGGTCTTCAATAGTTGTCTAGCTGAAATTACATTGATAACAATAAACTGATTTTATCACTAAGCAATTCATGTTTAGTACGTTTAAATTCACTTACTTACTTACTTACGCCTGTTACTCCTCGTGAAGGAGCATAAGCCGCTCACCAGCATTCTCCATCCAACCCTGTCCTGGGCAATCCTTTCAAGCTCTTTCCAGTTCTTATTCATCTTTTTCATATCTGCTTCTATTTCCCGACGTAATGTGTTCTTTGGCCTTCCTCTTTTCCGCTTCCCTTCAGGATTCCAAGTTAGCGCTTGTCTCGTAATGCAGTTTGATGATTTCCTCAATGTATGTCCTATCCATTTCCATCGTCTTTTCCTAATTTCCTCTTCAGTTGGAAGCTGGTTGGTTGTCTCCCACAAAAGGCTGTTGCTGATGGTATCCGGCCAATGGAACGTTTAAATTCAAGCTAAATGATTATTGTAGATGGATCATAACTGTTATTCAATCATATTTGTCAATGACTTCATCAATATTTGTAAATAGTAACCATTCTATAAATCATTATTAATATAAATTCTTAACGGAAGATTTCCTTACTGAACTATACACATCAACTTTAATTATTGTAGAAAGTTAAAGGTGGATAAACTAAAACATAACATCAATTCATAAAATTCACTAATTTCTAGTTTAAATCATGTTGGTAGATACAAACTACTTGACTGAGATCCTCCTCACAACTGTTAGAGTCATGGTTAAGAATCAATCATAATGACATAGATGTATATACAATCTTTGTCTTCCCTTACACCGTGTGATTAAAATTGTTTTCTTTCTTCCTGTACTATATCCTTATAGACAATCTTTCTTTTATTCATTACTACCATTGAATTCGGTGTTCATTTTGTTGTGCTAATGAGGTATGGCAGTCAGTCAGTCAGCTGCAACGTAGGACCAGGTACATATATGCATCGGTCCAAGTTGCCATATCGCGTTAGCACAACAAGATGAACACCGAATTCATAAAAATAGTCACTTCAAAGATAGTAGTATATAAAAGAAAGATTGTGTATAAGGATATAATCCAGGTAGAAAGAATTAGTTCGTAGAAAGAAAGATTTGAAGTGATTTTAATCTCTTAGTTTAAGGGAAGACAGAGAGTGTATACACCGACGCCATTGTGATCGATTCTGAGCCATGTCACCAAGAGTCTCCAACTGTTGGTTACGATAGTCACGCGGACCCCAACCAAGTATTCTCCATCTACCAACATGGCTCAAACCAGAAGTTAGTGACTTCAAGCACTGATGCCACGTTTTGGTTTGGCCGCCCCTAACTTTCTTCCAATTATCCCTAACACCAGTGAGCATTGCGCGTCGTGGTAATCGGTGTTCAGGCATACGCAACACGTGGCCTAACCATCTCAGTCGATGAAGATTCATAACCTCATCAACTGATTTATCATCATTCCTTAATACCTTATGTCTAACCTCACTATTACCCGGTGATCCCAGCAGATACCAGCAATATTTCTACTCCTAAAGGCCATGTTTTGCAGCCGTATAGTAGAACGGAAGGAACTGCCGCGCAGTATACTCATCCCTTAATTGATAAGGTATGGCAAGTTGAACTGATGCATATATGTGTGCTTGGTTTTATGTTGTGGATAACTAATTGACTGACATTTGAAAGGAAGATTTTACATTTTCTCATTGTTCACTTATGATTGTTTCTCTAATGTTCTTATAATGATTATGATAAGTTACGTAATCTCTTTCTTTCCCTCACTCTCTGTTTATTATCGTTTATGAAAATAGCCTTTGTGTTAGGTTAGTTTTGATGACAGCTGTAATTCATTGTTTGTTTGTTTGTTTGTTTGTCTATCTGTTTAAACTATACAGAAATGGTTACTATTACAATTATCAATAAAGCATATGGTCGCATGTATCACACTATTGTTTATCTTATCTTTGTATTAGTTACCATCTCCGATATAGATGTAGGGGGGGGGGAGGGAGGGCGAGTTATTTCATTTTGTATCATATGTGTAATATGTAAAGATGATATATAGGAATGACGAAACAAAGGAATCCTATCTTAATTACATAGACTAGCCAGATGTTTAGATAGTATTCTGTTAAATGTATTTAAGCATATAGATATGT